TTCCGTTTATGTAATTACTTATCCAGTGAGGAGATCTCCACTGATACCACAGCTTTGCATCTTGTAAAACAGAATGTTCCGGGGGGGATTCCGGGAAAAAAGTTCCGGGGATGCGCGTCATATCTCTTAGGGGTAAAAATTCGCGATTTGGTATATTTTAGGGTGTTAAATGCGAATTTTTGAAAATCAGCATTTTCTGGTATCTCTTAGGGGTCGGTAAAGAAGAGAAGCGCGCATCGATATGGCTTATCCTAGGCGCTTTTTATATAAAATTTAATATTATTTGTTGTGGTATCTCTTAGGGGTTAAAAATCACTCAGGCACGCCCTTTTTTAAAGACCTCCGGTATCTTTTAGGGGCCTTTTTGAAAATTTCCGACATGCATACCCGGTACTTTTTTCCCGAAGTCCCCACTGGGCAGCGCAGATCGCTAACTTTTAAGGCCACAGCTACCTCACTCGATAACTTATTGTCTTGACACCCTTAATAAGGCCGGTTTAGACTGCACGATTTTCGCCTACAATTATCGTACACAACACGCTCGCGCCATCCTACAACTCGAGTCGTAGCGTGTCAATCAAGCCTACATCTCGCCTACGACAGATGCGAGCGTGTTGTATACAATAGTTGTAGGCTAGAAAATCGTACCGTCTAAACCGGCCTTTAGAGGTATCCACACAACTAAACTAGAAGGGCCTCAAAATGCATTAAAAGGTTGAAAGTAAAAACCAATGTGGTCAGCCATTGAAACAATAGAAGATCTCAAACCTCCTTCAGAATAAACGATTTTATGCATTTAGGAATTGCTTTTTCATGTCTCCTTAGAAATTATAAAAATCATCATAAATCATCATAAAAATCATCGTATAAGTGCTATCCTTGCAGCTCGCAATTGACTAGTCCTTGGAAACACTTTTTGTTTAGGTTTTTTCTAACCTTTGTCACATACCACAGCTAGCCCAATCTGACAGCAGATTCAGTATCAAACAGCGTTAGCAGCATTCTACTTGATTAGACGTACGAATTTCCTTTTAATTATCTGTAGAAATTGTCTACAATAAGAGATTTAATATCCGAGCAGATGCAGGATCAAAAAAAGACATAACATATGACATGAGAACCTTATTATAAGAATAATAACCAGAGAAAATTTAAAAAGAAGCATTAGCTTCAGAAGGAGTGACACAATGCTTAATGTCATAAAACTAAAGAAAATAGGCGGGAGATTCTCACATCATTCTAGTACCCAGACCCTACTCACCCAAAAACTCGAAGTCTCTGGTAACACACAAACCGGAAAACCCAGATTCTTAGGCCCCGTCAACACGTATCCGGAAATTTTTGTATCCGCAATTTTTTTTTTTTTTTTTTTTTTGCGGATACGGGTTGCGTCCACACGTGTCCGCAAATCTTACGAAAACGGATACGTGTGGACGGTGAAAACGATAAGTTTTTTTTAGTAGTTAGGTGCATTTATTCTAAGACAGACATTTACAATTTTCAACAATCAGTATCTGTTCCATGCTGTATGTCAAAAACACATTTTAGAGTTGTCCGTTGAAGAACGGACAGTGCGTATGGTCATTGGTGCCATTAGAGAGTTTTAGATTGACTTTTTCCCCTCCCCGCAAACGGCAAACGTGACCACGTGACCACGTTTTCATCGTTTTCCTGTATTTTACTTTACCTTTTACAAACCTTCTCACCAAGCGCAAATATTCTTTTGTTTTTCTACTACTTGGACTTTTTTGCGATTCTTTTTCACTAATTTAAAAGATTTTTTTACTGGTCAACTGACGTTTCACGTTCCACCAGAGTTTCAAGTCCTTTATGCTAACGTAACTGCCGCAAACAATGATCTTGACTACGTGCCTTTGAATGCCAAGAAGCATCATTTCCCGCTCATAGATACAATCCGCTACAGTATCGAAACAGAAGGATGCGCTTTGAACAACAAACTGAAGGAGAAACAGGGCGGGTTCGGCGGCTCCAATCTTGGGGTGCCATACGTAATAGAACTTTGGCCTAAATCCCATGGCAGTCCCGTCCATAACCATGGTAACTCTTACGCAGTTATCCGATGGTGCACGCTGACATCAGTTGAGTAGCGCGCGCTATGTAATTCAGATTTTGTCATAAAAAATATTTGAATTTTTCTCGATTAACGAATATTTTTTACGCTTTTGCTATGCTATAAGAAGGATTGGTCATCGATTAGCGTGCATCCATCGAATTTTGGGTACACTTGATCGGTTGCTTAAGCACTCACTTACGCTTCCTTCGTGTTCAGCAGCCTCCCGCATGCATCCAAAACTCGATGGATGCCCAGTCGATGACCAATCCTTTAGTGGGAGTCAAGTGACGCCATCATACAAAAACCCTGTTGGTGGTTTTCACCACCGCCATGTTGGATGAATTTCACAAAAGATTCTTCATAATGGTTTCCTTATGGTTTCACATAGCTCTTCCTACCCATAGATTATAAATGCATGGTCCTGTAGCAACTTTTTCTGTCTGATTGTTTTCAGCATTCCGTTTTGAACCTCTTGGTGATATATATACTGAGATCCTGACGGCAGATATCCGCTCCGACTTTCTTTACACGGGGTTAAATCAACATTATGGGGTAGGGAATGCGATAACCGCTTCGTTCAACCTCGTACCAACAGCCACAAATGATCCAGCTTTTCTTTTCAAACATCGAGCTGTTATAAGACTTGCACCAATACTAAACAAGTAAGTAAGTATAAAATATCGGAGATATAACGCTCGCGCTGATTGGCTGGCTACCGTGTTTATAACGGAGGACAGAGACACGCTCGAGCAAAATCGTTCAAAAATTTTTATGAGAGCAATACAAAACGCCTGCTTAAGTCTCTGTATGAGTCTTATTCGTTCAAAGTTTCAAAAAGTGACACTAAATCTATCTTATAATTGGTGTTTGTTAGCGAGGCAATTATTGAAGGAGTTTTATGAACGCTAGTCTCCTTCTCAGCCATCATTAGTGGAGAGGGCCCTTGAGGATCTGGGACCGAAACTAAATTCTCCTCGATGTTGCGTGTCTTCTGTAGCTTCGTGCCTTGCCACATTGTCACTGGGCTCTCCTATTGCAAAGAATTTGTGATTTTTTCCAGATATCAAGCTGATGGAGGAGTAGAGTACGATTTGCGAATCGAAACATCGATGATGATGGCCTTTAAGATCCTCATCAAACAAATATCGAGAACAAAATTTAAAAAATCCGTTGTTATAGAATTAGAAAATACTTCTGTAACCGGGGCAACTACATCTGAAGGCTCTACATCGACATCCAGTACAGAAGCAAGCTGCACATCGAGAAGAGCAGAATGTGTATTTGTTGTGAAAAACATTACATCTGGTGCTGAAGGCACTCAATCTGGTATGAAAGGCACAGTTACTCAAAATATTGATATTTTGGAAAAAGTAAGTGCAATTAATGCTAATGTTTTCGTGGGAAATATACTTTTCCCCCAAAAAACTCTTTCGAGTTCCTACAGGCACGGACGCACGGTGCAACATTGCGGGCAATGTTGCAGGCAATGTTGCTGAAGTAAGTTAGTTTTCTACTTCAGCAACGCTGCGTGCAACAAATTGCGTCGTGTGACATGCCTCGCAGCATCAATTGCATGCAACATTGCGTGCAATGTTGCACAGTGTGTCAGCACCTTAAGTCCTCCTCGAAGAATTCTAAAGCCTGGTAAAAGCGTTTTGACTATAAATGAAGAAATGCTACCTATTTCTTGCTAGCATTACTACTCACAACAGTCGCAACTTTGTTAACTATATTACAGTCGTGAATTTTTTTGTGCGCAGTATTTCTGGATTAGACCTGCTGCAATTGTGTTGCTTGCAAACGACACTGGGTCCCTTTCGAGACACATTGGTCCGAGCCACGTAAAGGTCTAACCATTTGTAGTTGTTATTACCAAGACAGCACCTTCTCAGTTATTTTAAGACCCTGAGTGTTGGTCCGGCCGGAACTCGATCCACGATCTCCCGCACGAAAGTCTGATGCTCCACCAACTGAAGGTGGCAACAATATGACACCAACATTTATACAAATGTGTGCAGGTGCCCCGCGGTTTACCGCTTATTTGTCATTTAACGATCACGTCTGATAAAGAAGCTACGCTCCGAAAACGTTAACGTTTTGCAAACGTTTTACCTTGAACATTTCTTCACCGGATTTACTTGCTTACGAAGAGAAATATAGAATAAAAAAATTATACAACATGGACCACCAACTGAGCCAACCGGTTGGCGGCAAATGTTCTATGAATCACTGGATGCTAATGTGCATCGTCAAACAGTTATTTCAGTGTAGGCAAACATTGCGCATCATGGTTTAAACGTTATTTCACGTTTGAGGTAGTATATTCCTAACTGTTCGATCGTTTACTTATTGCCACCGTCATTGTTTTTGCAGATAGCTCAGTATTCATCACAGGGCGGTAGAATCATGTGCATAACAGTGGTGGGAAGTCTAGACCAAACCTTAGCTTCGGACACCGACCTTTTTGATCCAAAGTTGAGATTCAACACAGGTTGGTCAGTTGTATATTTTTTGGGCTTCACCTTTGCAATGTATGGTGAATTTAATGTCTTCTAAATGAAAGGCAGACAGATAGACAGATGGGCTGACATGACATGACATGCCGACAGACAGACAGACAGACAGACAGACACAGTTAGACAGACAGACAGACAGGCAGGCAAGGAAACATGCAAATATTTAAAATCATCTAGTTTTTCAAATTGATAAAATCTTTTCAAGGTTTGTATAATCATTTCATGATTCCAGTTTCAGTTGCTGATGTATTCATGGAGGTCCCTCGCATGCCTCTTCCAGCGATGTTTATTTATCAAATAGTCACCACCCTCATTCCATACCGGGTTAAAGGGTTTCGGAACAACCAGGAGGTTTCTGTCTTGTTCGACTACGCGGAGTTCTTTTTAACACACTTAAATCAGGGCTGGAAGTTAGTCGGAATCATACAGTACGATACAGGTAAGTAAAAGTATTGAACATCTCAAAATTAATATCGTATGATTGAGAAAAACACTCGGTACAAGTGCCGTACCGTGGCTGTGACGATAATATTTCAGCCTAGCGTTTTCATGGGATAAGCAATGATCTTGCGCGCTGTAATTGGATCAAAGGTATTATCGATTCCACTTTTTACTTGGAAATTTCTCGCGCGCTGATTGGCTTAGAACCATTGTCGCTGCGCTCGTGGTTCCACTTGAGTTTGGATCATTTTTGACGTCATTTCATGTTCGATTACAGTACAGACCCATAGAAAACTGACTTCGATTTGTTAAGAAGAAAGTAATACGTATTGAAATGTAAACAATTTCGTCCTTCAATTGAAGTCCACAAGTGCATTGTCGCAATTGCCCTTGTACAGCCGCTTCCCACCCCTCCCCCCTACGAGGAAAACGGTGTAGGGGTGGGAAGCGGCTGTACACTGGCTATGCCGCAAGGTTCTGTAGACTTTTCATGTTAAATATTTATTGGGAGTCTCACTTTGTCTATGGTCTGTTATTTATCTGTAACAGTGTTAACTCGGTTTTATTTGTTAACAGGAAAAAACAGACTGAATTCATTTTGGTTTTTTGAGAAAGAAAAGACGAGAATCGACGATTCATCACCAGTGTACGAAGGAACAATTGTTGCGCATAAACATATCTATGAGGTGACCAATAATGTCAGATAAAAAGAGCACTCCAAAAATAAATTTGTTGAATGGTCTTCCTGTGGTACATAATTTAATTGATTGGTCTTCCTGTTGTATGGACGCGCGCGGGCTCTTAAATAAAGAAACGCCATCTTTGATATTTACTTGAGCCCACGTTATTTTTCACGGAAAACCGTATTCGTCAGCAAGTGTCAATACCACAGGAAGACCAATCAACAAATTTATGTCTACCCTTGTCAGATAAGTCACAAGATTCTAGGATCCCCATTTAAAATTTTGACACCACAAATACCAGAATCCAAATATTAATTGTTAGTCTATTTAACACCATAATCTTGTGACCTTCAAAAAAAAAAAATTCTTATCAAAGTCAGGGCAAGAGTGACTCTAGAAATAAATGATGAGTGGGAAATGACGGAGCTTGCATTTACAAATTTTGTTAGTATTATGGAAGAAACCCCTGCCTCTGTCCTTACTCGTTAGATCAGTCTTGCCGGTAAGCACCATGAATATATCAAGTGTCGGTATATTTTCCTGTCTACTAGGTACCTAAGTAATAGTCGACACCCCTGTCTCTCCTTACCCATTAGACCTTTCTTTCAGGAATTAAATACACGATGAATATATCAGGTGTCGGCATATTCATTTGGGTTTCTTTCACAGGGTGCGACAAAAAGAGTAGAAATGATCAAGAGTGACGTCAAACCTGTCTTGCAGGAGATGGGAGCGAAAGGCTGGGAAATAGCTTGTTCATTGGATACACCAGAAGCTACAAGAATTAACGAGATAACTACACAGATAATCATACTACTCTTCTTTCAAAGACGAATAATTTATCCATAATGACGCGCACGATAAATATTCCTGGGGTGAACGTGACGTCACAGCCTGCAGATTGGTTGCAATGCATAACCTGCTGCAGATTAGTTGCAATGAATGACCGAATGCAATATTATCATATTTTTTAAATTTCTTAATTTAATTTAGAACTGAATTAAAATCATAGTTTAAAAAAGCTAGAAAGTTTGAAGTAAAAATATTAAATTTTCAAGGAAAATTTCAAAATGTGAAAAACACCAGAACGAGGCTAGACAGTAACTTTGATTCCTAAGAAATTCTTTTTAATTTACAGCAATAAGATTTTCTAAAATAAATATTTCTGCTTGCTCTTTCTGATAGTAGTGTGTATTATACGTTTAAAGATTCGTTTTCTTTTCCTGAAAGTTATTGGGGCCATTTAATACTTGAGCTTTGTATATATTATAGCCACGCCTTTTGTCCTTTTGTTCTCCTTGGAAAGAAAATACCTCTTACAGAAAAATCATTCACTATCCGGAGAGTTAAATGTTCTTTGTATTTAGTAAAAACTCATATTATAATCTTGGGGGACGTTTATTGGGGTCAATGAGATTGGGAATGAAAAAAAAAAAAGAAAGTAAAATGAACTTTCAACACTTTAGTGGCTTCAGCGTCACTTACAGCGATAATTTATTGAACCCACTTGAGTTTTAAACCAACTTTGAGCTGGAAACGAAAAAGAACGAAAACAGGTTCATATATGACCAAAACATTTGCAAAATACCTTAGAAAATTAGTTTAATGTGTTAGGAAGTTGTTGCTTAACGAATTTTGATACAAAACACCGAATAACAGTAGTAAAAAAATGTAATTACTTGAACTGAGGTGTCAACATTTTAAGGGCTTCAACGTCACTCACAGAGATAATTTATTCATCCTACTTGAATTTTTGTACTAATTGTTTATATCTTTTATGAAATAATGATTCACTGTTAATCTTTTTTGGGTAAAAAAACATTTACTGTAATAACAAAGTTTACGACAATTAGATTTCTCGACTCGGAAATTATTTATTCGACCAAGTTGCCAAACGAATTTAAAGAGGGTATTAATCTAAATATTTTCGAAGTAATAATCTTTTTGTACGTTGTAAACTAGGAACATGTCATTTCTTTTTTCTTTTTTGTTTTGTTTGGAATTTGTCTTTACTTCCGCGCGCTTTCCACTTATATATTAGGTAAACAATCAATTTACCTTATTTGGCATGGAAACAAAAGAAGCCCCTGTCAACGGTTAACCAATCAAAAACTAGTATTCGCGCGTCCTTTTCCCAACGCGTTCGTTTCTGTGCACTGCATTGGCTTCCTCATCAAATGTTCCATGGCTGAACGTTCTTAAAAGCCACACTTTAAAAGGTCATAATTGTCCTTTATTTGGCATATAAACTACCAAAATCCCGGTCCAATGAAATAGAGATTTGCAAATGAGTACTCAGAGGGGAGAACTGCTCGACGATCCGCTTCGAAAACCTCTGAATTTTGACTTAGATGATGACGATTTAGATAGTGACCTCGGAGAAGAACTAAGGGGTATTTACGAACACCGGCTTAAAGAAATGGAGAGTGTCGAAGTGAAAAGAGACAGTGCACAAAAGGTAGGTGGAAAGCGGTATTGTTTTTACCTTTGAATGCTATCTTTTATCAATCAGCTGATGGACCATAGAAATGACTTGTGATTAACTTGATGTTCCGACGTTTGAGCCACGTTGTTATGTCAGAAAAAATAGCCAAACTCACCCTGTCTTTATTTATGATCGAATTAGAATTATTTATGAGGACCTTTTGAAATATTCAATACAATTACCACTGACTTTAAGGAATGATTTCATTGTTCATTTAAGACGATGTTCAAACTTCAATTCCCAGGAGTCAGTTGACAAGATTTGCACGCTTTGCAAATCAGCCAAAACACGAGACCATCGGAAAATATACCAGTAAACTTTTCAACACTAAAATACTCTCCATGCATTGATTCTTTCGCTTTTGTTTTAAATCGAAAGTCGTTCTGATTCAAAATTATTCAAATTTCCAACGATTGTTGTGTAGCGACAGTATATTTGCTTTTGGCCTTCTTAGCAAAAGTGGAATGATGCTTTGTTGTGCCCTCTTCTCTCTTTCGTTTATATCTTGCTTTAAATCTAATTTCCGCCGAGCAGATGTCTTCATGTAATACCCTGTTTAATACAGCTTTCTGTATTTTTGATTTCAAAAGTGCTTATTGAATAATTCGAAGATTATCGCATTGGTTTTGAATTTTTTTCTTCGTTGAACTACCTATCACAGGTGTCTTGTTCATGATTTTAAGTTTGTTTAATACGATATAATCCTCCAGGATTATCAAGGCTGTACTTTTACCTAATTGCTAACAACTTGTATAGTTAAAAAGAAATCTTCGAATGTGGTTTCTCACGTGAACTGTGCGACGTCAGTACAATGACAGTTTTTTATACAGTAGGATATTAATTAAGTTACCATTAGTGCTCTTTAAGTTAAAACTAAAAAAAGAACATGTTAAGACAAGAAAAATAACCTTACAGCTGCACACATAAATTATATATAAGTGGCAGGAAAGTTTTCAAAAACACCCAATTTGTAATGAAAATTACCATAAGGTTTTTTTTTGCTGTGCCAACCATCTGTACAATATAGACTGGATTTGCCCTCCTTGACAACTGTTGTCAAGGCCCAAGTCAGAGAAGAAGCAGTCAAAAAAGGCAGAGTCTAAAGAGGCTACTTGCAGACATTGTGAATTTTTTCACGACTGCTTGCCCTCTGAGTTCAGTTGTTGGTGGAGGCAGCTGTCAAGCAGGGTGAAACCAGTCTAAATATGCCATGCTTTATGGAAATTTATGTTTAGCTTTATCATGGCTGTCTTTGTTTATATTGACTTTTGATATTGATAGCTAAATGATTTTCCTATTTAATTTTGGCTAATAAACAAGATAAACTTAATAAAAGCAGTCCACCAGTCAATCAAGGAAGTTTCTAACCTTATCTATTCTTAGAATAAGGATTCTATTTGATAAAAGTAGAGTCTAGTGATGTTATTGCTGGTTGTTTGTCATGCGTCTCAGTAGCCAGTCGGGATAAGTGATTGGCCACCAGTATATTTGATGGCTCAGGTAGATTTATTCAAAATAAAGACCCTGTTGTCTGTACTCTGCATGGTAACCATGGTTACAGACAGTGTAAATTGTTAGAACTGTTAATGAGAATACAGATGCAAGCATGTATAAAATACAGCAATACAATATTATTATTATGGCAGCAAAATGCATTCTTTTCTTACTTCTTTTGCATCTACAGCTATATTTATAGTTAATAAAATTATTCATCTAAGCTCAGCAGTGGAATATATGTTATGTAATGTTTAATAAACGAGCAGGAGTGTTTTATCGGGTATAAAACACGAGGCACAGCCGAGTAGTTTTAGACCCGATAAAACATGATCTGCAAGTTAATTAAACGGCTTAGAAAACTCATGATGTATGTTCTCATATTGTACAGAATTCTTTACGAAATGAACCAAGTTTGATTGGGGAAATTCAAGTTAAAGTTTATGCAAATGAAGATGAATCTATATCAGATATAAAACCTCCTTCATGGTCATGATTTCTACTGTGTTTCCTTCATGAATTATTAATGAGTTTTCTAATGTATCATCTTATACATTTTAGTATATGAGAAAAAATAATATTCTTAATTATATATCAAAAAAGAGCAGCAAGTGATTGTTCGGATTTACAAGCCAGCTAGCTAGTATAGGCTGGCATCCAGTCATTTCATTACCATCTATTTTGTCCTTGCCATTTCGACTACAATTATAGCCTATAATTATTATATCCTATATAATTATAACAGGCTTTAAGTGCTTTTTGATCTAGATTATAGGTGGTTTGCACTAATCAGTGCACACCACCTAATCTTAGACAAAAACTGAAAAGAAAATTGCTGATAAACTAGAATGAAACAAAACTTTTTCCCCTATAGCAATGCTGCTTACCATGCTAAAGAATGATTCATTGAGGGTGAATACTGTACATCAGTCGACCAACATTGTTTTGGGTAGGAGGAAGGGAGGTTTATTTTATTGCTCAAAATATACATAAATACACTCAGGATTTTTAATTTACATTTTCTTAGCTCTTTTGTCCAACATTTCATTCCTTGCACCACGTTGTTTTAAGTTGTTTGGAAGTACTTGGTACTTGTTTTTTTTCTTCTGTAGATTACATCAAGATATATAATTATCATAATTATAATTATATTAAATATATAATTAATCCAATAAGACAGCATTTTGACAGCCTTGAAAAGGCTCAAAATCCAGTCCAACCTGTACAGTGACTAATTATATTATTGTAATTTTCAGCATCAACTGCAGTCATTACAGACATATGTCAATGAGTTGAGTGAACAGAATGAGATTCTGGTCCAGACTGTGGAAGAGTTAGAACGTGAAGCCAATGAGAGGGTAGCTCTGATGGAGTCTAAGCTAAATAAGACAAACATCTCACTAAAGGTAAGGGAATTATTTTTAAAACTGTTTTAAATGCTACACATAGATTGGGAGAGCATGTGGAAATGAAAACAGTGGAGGAAAGGAAAGGAAAGAAAATAATGAAATATTAAGTTCTTAGGTTCTAACATTAGCTTTCATGGGCTTCCTTTTTAATAAGCTTTCAACACATTGTAAAATGAATTTGGATTTTAAAATAAGCCTTAAAAAAGCACTCAATTTCATTAAACCTTGAAAAAACCTACAGGCAGATCTATAGTCAGAGATTATACTCTGTATGGCTCACCTGAAATAACCTCTGGGCTATATGTAAAGTGTATGCTACATCTACCTCAGTCTGTATCTACCTCTGGGCTATTCAAAATCAAGGTTAATTACTGACGGTTCCAACCCTGAAACAACCTCTTGGTTTATCTCAAGGAGGGCATGGTTTACTTGTCTAAGCTGTACACAGAGAGCCAATAAACTAACAATTCTGTGCTCATGACATGTTCTTTAGGATGCTTCCATTAGAGCTAGTGATTCTGATAGAAGATTGGAAAAGGTTGCAAGAGAAAACGATCTCATCAATGAAGACCTGAAGGTAATTTCTTAATTTATTGGCACTAAATGTGTATTGAAATAATGATTAAAATATTGCACTATCATTTAATTGACACTGATAATAAAGACTCAAGTATTTTCTTCCATTGCTAACCATAGAAAACATTGTGTAGTTCCAGAAATTATCCATACCCACCCCACACAGGAATTTGGAATTTCCGAAGGGTTGGGGATCAGAGAAAGAACAAAAATTACAGAGTTTGTATGGAAGAAAATTGAAATTTCTGGGGGTAGGGGGGTGTCTTAAAAAAATTTCTCCGTGGGGGAGGGGAGGGGGTATGGTTATTTTTTGGAACTACACATTCTAACTTCTGAACCTATAGACTGTGCATGTCACTCTCTTGAACAAAGCTCTTTGTTATAGTAAATTATTCATATCCACGTATCTTCTCTTGTGCAACCATTGAACAAAAAAATAATTCTCTAGGGAATGACGTGTTCTGAAATGAGAAAAGCATGCCAAAGTTAAAGAGATCTATTTATAAGATATATTATTATTTCAATGACTATAAAGAGTTTGAAGGAAGAGCTGAGTGTCACACAGCAGCAGTACGCACACCTGCAGACAAGAGCTGAGGACCTTGAATGGGACATTGATGGTCTGGTTGAGTTGATTGGAACAGCAAGAGCAAGCGGAAAATGGGAGGTAACTATTAACACTCTTTTCTTTTCTATGTCCTAATCGAGGCAACAGTCGTGACAGGGAAATTGGGTAATACACTTCTGTCAATCAAATACTACAGATCTCACCGAACTGTGGAGACACGTCAAAAATTTGTCTTGCTAGCACGACCTAATTTGTCTACTGTCACGCCTACTTTTGTTATATGTACTACAGTGAATACCTTAATGGCAAAGTGCTAGATCCGAGACAGTGACAAAATTAGGGTGTGGTAGCGAAACAAATTTTTGACATGTCACAACAGTTTGGTGAGATCCATAGTAAATTGGTCAGTACCTTTACATTCTCTGATTGGCGGCAGTGTATTGCCCTATTTCCCTGTTGTGACTGTTGTCTTGATCAGTGTGTAGCAGTGAATAGTGTGGTAAATTTGAATGGATAATTATATCGTAGTTGTCTAGCATAACATAACAGTGAAAATTTGATTTTGGAGTAGATTAAGTATGACTGGCATGACATGTAAACCTGTCACCACTTGAAACTAGCAAATTAACAAGACCTGCACCTTTTAACCTTACCAGACTCATGCAGATACTCATGCAGTCTTGGGACATGCATCTCTTGATGCCATTTGCAATAAAACCTTATAGATAGATTTGTCTCATTGGTGCCCTGTGTTATCTGTTTTCTAAGTTTGCAGGTCTTGACTTGAGGACTGTTCCACTGGATGCCATTCTAGGAGCCCACGCTGCTGCTTCCAAACATGTGTAAGTAAGATATGACTTACTAAATTACAAGGAGCTGCGTTCCTTTGGGCCTTACACTGATTCCCCTATTTCACTATGACGTCACATCAAAACAATCTATTGTTTAAACGCAAAGGATCATGGTCGTCGGAGGGGGTTAAATCAACGCAAATTCACCAAAAGTTGTTCTAAAACCCGTATCAATCCATTCTTCATTTCCAGGGGTCAGGGTGAGAAACGTCTGACTGACCACATCAGCGAACTCAAGCGACAACTGACGGCCAGAGATGAGATCATCCAGAGATTACAGAAAGACCTGAAGAACAAAGAACAGGTTTGTTTGTTAAATGATATTCACTGCTATGGCAACCAATAATGGACAGTTATTTGACTTCTGTCAATCAAATTTCCAATGGTCTAAATTATGTTTTTTATATCTCAAACTGTCATGCAATTGCATAAACCAGCTAATATCCCCCCCTACCCCCTATTTTTACAGCAATATCAACAACTTTTAGACAAGAAAGCTCATGGTGACGAGAGGGTTGGTTCATTTGCTGGTGACTCCAAATCTTACGATTCTCACACTGAAGAATGTTCAGGTGCCATGACAAACAAAGACATCTTGATCCGACAGCTGAGAATGGACCTGGAACAAGCCAGACGACAGCAACAAATAACAGAACGAACCTTGAGGGAGTGTGAGATGGATTTAGCTAAACAAGATGGACAGATAGAAAAACTCCAGGATAATGAGACGTTCAGAGTTACTGATGTGTCCGCCAAGGAGCGCAGAATAAAGTTGCTGGAGACACAGTACAAGAATAGCAAGTTGGAAGTGAGTAGAATTGAGTTTTGTCTGTTTTTTTTTTGGTATAACCAGTCATTGCACGCTAGCTTTTTTCTCTACAGTGACTGCTACAACATGGAATTGAGTCGTGTCACGCAATGTTTCTACTTCTCCAGATAGCTTAGGTCATGTCTTGTGATGGTAACGCAAGAACCATGCATCCTTCACAATCATACATTTACTTGAACAAGTTACTTGAATGTTCTTAGGTGGCCCGATGCCAAGAGGTGATTAGAGAATTGCAGAACTCCGTGAGGTCTTACAAAGAAGGCAGTAGATCAGTACCACCAGATGTCACCAATGACTATGAACAGAGGATCAAACGGCTGCAGACAGAACTCGAGGCATCGGATGATCAAAGAAAGAGTGCTAATCGTGAACTGATGGCCCTGCAGACCAAACTGCGTGAGATGGAACTGATTCGAAAAGATAACCAAGAAGTTCTCAGTCAAGAGGTAAGTAATAAACACTTATTGCTAAAAAAGACGGTCATAAAGAGGCACCTTGGAAACAGAAAATGGCGATTACGGGGAAATTCTGCCCGCCAAGGACCAATCAGAGCGCACAATTTGTTCATTTAGATCAGGGCCGTATTTAGGGGGGGAGCACAGGGTGCACGTGCACCCCCCACATAAAAGCTTAAGGTCCGCTCATCCATCTCCTTTTTTTTCCTTTTTTTGGTTCTGCTTTCTTTTGGTTACCTTTTTTTGGGAGTTCTGCTTTCTTAAAAGAAAAGATCAATGGTCCGATTTTATTCGATGTGCACCCTCCCTGTAAAAGTTCTGGTTACGGCCCTGTGGATAATGTTCCTTTGCGAAGATCCAGGATTATAACGTACGTCTCCTTAGCCGTCAAAGGCAGAGTTCACAGGAGTGATGGGGCTGAGATAAGTCGATATCATATTTAAACAGCAGATCGCGAAGGAAGAATGCCACAAAGGATTCGTAAAGAAAACTTTGGCGTGCAGCGATAATGAATACCTCCATGAGTTTGTTTGATGTGTTGTTCTCTCCCTTGCCAAGAGGGTTTATTCTGCGGGGTTCGTAAATGGAAAAGGTGCGAGCGGAAAGATAAGGTTTTATAAAAACATATATTAAACAATAAGACGACATGGCCCAGATTAGTCGGTGCGCAAACTTATTTTGTTGTCCACGCAATGGTCTTTGGTAGATCTTCATACTGTTTGACCAATGAAGAAGAACCGCAACGTAACTGTTCCCTTGAACTTCTCCCCAACAGCTCACCAGCCGGGATTCAGAGCTTGGAAGTCTGCAAGACAGATACAATGCTTCACTAGCCCAGGTACTGCTAGTAATTTTACTACTGCCTACTGATGAATGATGCAGTGTGCGCTTTAAAAAGAAGTGGCGCTGTTTGAAATGCGTTATCCATTAAGCCTCCCAGCTAGCTTGTTCGATGGACTTCTTAAGATGGTCATCCCTGGTTTTTGCTATGTAAACTGGATAGCAATGCCACATCCATTGGTCCCTATATTCCAATATGATACCCCTTCCCCCCCTAAAAAAACCGGTTTACTTTAGCTTACTTTGGCTTCTTTAGGTTCATCAACTCGACAAAGAACTTCGTCAAGTGAAGGCGGAACGCAGTAACTCGGATTACGAGGTATACTTAGATTAACGAGAAGTGAAAACAATGCAGAGAACTCCTTTAAATCTAATGCAAATAATTTATGTGCCTGCCTTATCTTAGCTTGTTTCCTTAGCTATATGTCGAGAGATCTTCCATTGTTTAGGCATGTCGTACCATTATTATGGAAAGCCATTTCAATGTTACGGCATGTCGTATCATGTACGTGCTGTAAGTCAGTACCGTATGTTATAATTATCTCATACAAAAATGTTTCTATAGAAATCGTGTACTTGCTGTCAAGTCTGTACCGTATGTTTTCCGCTCATACGATAACGACTCTAATACAATTTATTGGTTTACCGCATCTTACTGTAGACGTTGTGATAAGATGTTTTCTTGAATGCAATGGGAAGCCATTTCAGTGATGTCGTAAACTGTAGGACATGTTGTGACATTGAAATGGTTTTTCCATCGTATAATCACAGCTAACAACACAAGCACTTGGATCCATTTACGGTTAGAGCAGTTTTCACATACAGCATTGACTTACAGCACGTACATGGTACGACATGCCGTGACATTGAAATGGCTTCCCATTGTCTTGCTTTCCGTATCGTTTCTTCTCTTGCGCATGAAAAATCCGCCCTAACTTAATCTATTTATCCCTTCCTCCAGCTCGAGAAAAACAAGTATTACGTTCAGCAGCTAGAGAATGATCTCAAGAAGTGTCGCGAACAGATAGCGGAATCTCAAGAACAGGTCCAGGCCTTACAGAAAGAACTGTACAGGTTGAAATCGTCTGCAGATGACCAAAGAGATGCTTTGGCAAACGAGGTATCGTAGGATCTCTATTTAACGACCACTATAACCCAACCAATCTCTATCTATTGGCCAAACACTCAAGGAGGGCCTTTGCAATAGTTTGTACCTCTATTAAGCGACCAACCTCAATTTAGTGCAGTGGTGGCCAGTGGTCCGTTGTCAAAGATGGTTTTTACTGAAGAAATAGAAAACGCGCGCGCGTGCTGTGTGCTGTCATAAAGCACGCGGGGGTTGGCAGAACACGAGAGAAGTGTTAGGAGAAGCACGAGGCGTAGCTCGAGTGTTCTGCCAATCCCCGCGTGCTTTATGACTGCACACAGCACAGCAAGCAAGTTTTTTATTTCTTTTATAAAATACAAATTACAATAATAGATAGGAATGACGCAACGGAAAGTGTGCGCGCGTGCAATGTGCTCTCATAAAGCACGCGCTCCAAACCAATCAGAACGCGACATTCATAACAGTTATTTTATAAACTAATTTATACCTCTGTTAAGCGACTAACCTCTATTTATCGGCCGGTCGTGAATGTCCCAGAGAGAGTTTTGAGAAGTTTTTTGTCAGTTCGAGCTTACCTTATCATGTTTTCATGCACTATCTTAGAAAAGTTGAATTGAAAGTAATTGCATTGCATTCGTTAACTATCCTAGGTTGCCGAGCGCCATGATGTGATCCTCAGACTCAAGGCAGATCTTTCTTCTATGGAAAACAAGTATCAAAATGCGTCATCCCAGGTATAGTTCATTGAACGAATATCTTACGAACACCTTCCGATTCACATCCGATCCTCTCCGAAACAACACCGAATAATCTACCGCGCCCATGTTCCGTAGTTTGTGAGGACGTTAAGAATCCATAAGAATCGCCGGAGCTGCTGTGGCCAACCGCTTATTCTGTCAACCCTACAATATTAAAATCGCTGTAGTGCAATGTCTCTGGTTGGAAACCAACCGCAATGTCATTCTGATTGCAAACTTGTACTAGGCTGCATCTCGCGTCGACTAGACCTCATTTCCTAAGCCTTCCAAATACCAAAAAGCTTGAATTCGACTTCAGTTCTACCAAGAAGAGCTTATTTTACCCGACGTTCCTATTCATTTTCGACTAGAGAATTTTTTGACAGTTGAAATCCATTATAATTCCTACACAATAGTACATAATAGTTTAATTTCAAACTAGAAATTATAAATAACATTTCATTAAGAAACAATAGTTTTTCCAACGCAGTTTCGCCCACTTAAATCGTGGCATTGTTGTCTTAATCCTGCCATTATCGTTAACACAGTATTCCTTTTGAGAGGGAAATTCGAATCCAGTTAGTTGTTTGATGTTGATTTTCATCGATATATTATTGAGAGGGAAGTCTGAATTCAGTTATAGCAGACGTTCAACTTCAACAAAATTAGGACTTCTTTTCCGATATATTATTGAACTTATTTAATTCACCAATGAAATGATGTACTATTGGCTGAAGAACAGTTACCAAACGTAAATTTGTGAACCGAAATTTTAGGTAGGTTTAATATAGATAGTTTTTTATCGATTGTGCAACGATTTCCAACTCACGAATCTTTGGTAGATTGTGGTATCGTATAGTCCCAATCAGTTTTTCTTTTCTTTTTTATTTGATATTTTGTTAGAACTTAGATTACAATTTTCAGTCAATTTATTACCAAAACACCTGTTTTATATCGCCATTTGGTTTGATAAAGAATACGTAAAACTTTATTGAGAATATGAATGTGAATATGAAATACTGAGTAATATATCCAATTATTTTATTTTTAAATGTGTTTGAAATTTGAAATGTTATTAGGATTTTAATCGATGACGAAACGAAGTGCTTTTATTCTATAGCACTGAAATGGCTTTCGAAATTTTTGCACTACAAAGGTTTCCTCAGATGTCCTTCACTATATTTTTCTGTATCTTTTTGTAATTCTTTTGACTAAAATCTTTTAAAAAATCAGAAAATTGTACTCTGTTTTAGCGTTTTTACTGCCGATAGGAAAAGGACATCAAGTTCAATTGAATTAAAAATTTTATTTTGTGATTTATTCGTTTTCTTAGTAACTACTTTTGAATTCCTAACTTAAATCTATTTAGTCTCTAAAGACGTTGAAGCATGCTTAAATTTAAATTCTTGAAAAACAATATCCATTTTCAAAAGTTCTTTTGTTCGGACGTTTTAATGACTCCTTTGATTCAGTTCATTGACATCTAAGAAATAAATATTCATAAGCTTTAGTCCTTCGTTGCAAAGAATTCAAACGGTCTCCCAATGACAGCTTTTGAACAACAGTAGAGTTATAAGGCTGTTGATTCAGGACGCCGAAATTTAGGATGTGAAGAAATTTGACGAGCAAACGTTGAAAGAAGTTTAAGAAAGTCGTCTTGGCGGGAAAACCCATGAAGTAACGGTTCATTGCTGTAAAGACTTTGTATAACTTTAGTTACGCTCGGTTCAAAATGTTTTTCATCGACGATACTACCGAGGTAATTGTCCAAAAGTATGATAAATAAACTTCTTGGGGATATATTGGTATTAGTAATTGATCTGTTTGACATTTTGGATTTTTATTTCAGCTTAGCCATAGAAACCAAGTCTTGCAAAGGATACGAGAAGAAAACAAAGAAATGTCTGAACAGGTTTGTCGTACAAATTATTTGTCAAAAAGTGCTTTTTTAGTTTCTTGGAAATTTTTGAAACTACTTCTAGATTCATTTAGTATTGTTCTAGGCACCCTCGTATTTGTTTTAGTTTACAGTTCTTGAGTTTTCATCGTGCTTATTTACTTGCAACTAAGAATAATAATCCACATTGTCATGCGTTTATCTGTCTGCCAGATTTCTTGTTAATGTGGCTTGGTATTTACTTAACTTTATCGTTCTTTTTGTCATTTTCCTTGATATATATAGTGCTCTGGGGCACTTAGAGGAATTGAATGGCTTGGTTTTAAATTGCATTGCATTGATTCTAAATGTCTTGTGCTTTATTGATACAGACTGATGATAAGAATCGAAAACAAGAGGGACTGGAAAAGAAACTGAATGCTGCCAACAAGAGGGTAAGGTTGAAAGATGAGATTTGTGAAAGCATTGAATACTTGCTCTTGAATGATAACAACAACAACCATGATGGGATTTGCAGCAATACAAAAAAACCAGTAATGATAGAACAATTACAGAAAAGCAATAGCAACAGCAACAAACCTTCAGCAACAGCAACACTGACAGCAGCAGCAACAGCAGCAAAAATATTTAAACTACAACAACAATAGCAACAGCAACAGTAACACTCACAACAGCAGCAGCAACAACAGCAAAAAATGTAAACTACAACTAAAACTACAACAACAATAGGAACAGCAACAGTAACAGTAACCCTCACAACAGCAGCAGCAACAACAGCGGAAAAGACTGTGAATAACAACAACCACAAAAGCAGCACCGATTGCATTAGCAACAACCACAACAAGGTTACAATCCTTCAACAAAAGCAACACTGAAATGCAGCAACAACAGCAAGCAACAACAGTAAGCAACAACAGCAAGCAACAACAGCAAGCAGCAGCAGCAAGCAACAACTGTAATAACAACAACCAACAAAGCAGCTACAGCGACAATGACATCAATATGAGACGACGGCAGCAACAACAGCAATACAAGCACAACCACAACAAGGTTACAATCCTTCAACAAAAGCAACACTGAAATGCAGCAACAACAGTAAGCAGCAACAGTAAACAACAACAGCAAGCAACAACAGCAAGCAACAACAGCAAGCAACAACTGTAATAACAACAACCAACAAAGCAGCTACAGCGACAATGACATCAATATGAGACGACGGCAATAGCAGCAGTTATAATAATGGCAGTAACAATTAACAGTGATAATTTACCACTGTACTTTACAACACGCGTTCTGTCTTGAAGAATATCCCTATAATTTTGTGTAGACTGCGTCCAGTAACAATACAACCTTCCATTCGAGCCCCCAACACAAGTCAGCTCGTATTTCAGGAAAACTACGAATTGTTATATATCCCCCACTGACTTGCTATTTTTTGACCACAGATTTCAGACCTGGAGTCGTCTCTAGAGAAAAAGGCAAAAAACAGTATTGAAACGTCTGACCACTTGTCACAACTTGTAAGTACTGTGTAGGGGAGGTGTGAGGCGAAAATTTTAGTTTCACTGACTTTTTTTGTAAGCATTTTCTATGGTTGTTCCGCTTTGTTATTTCAACCCCTTCATTGGCAGAAGGGATTGCTGGTGTGTGTGTTAGATTATGGGCTACGATCAGTCTGCACTAGTTTCTCACCCTTCTTTCTTAAGTTCCGTATATATGAAGGTAGGGTGACCCTGATGCTCGCTAGAGACAACCTTGGTTTTTCTTCTCCAGGGACACCAAAAACAAGACCTGGGCCTAGAAGTAATGACGCTCTACCTTAATTTAATCGGCGCCTTATTTGCGTAGCTTATGCTTCAAAACCACTTGTGAAGATTAAAACGAAGTATTATCGTGCAGACAACAAGTCACAGCGCGTCGAGTTTTCTCTATCATCTCGTCCTTAATTCGAGAATTTCGGAAAATTAAGCAACTAAGATTACTGGATTTACCTAGTGTCTATAAAAAGATATAACTAGCTAAAAACTAGTGTGAGCTGCGTCGGTGTTTCTAATGAAACAGTAATGATGAAAAGGTAAATTATACACCGTGAAAAGA